TTTATAGTGATAAAAAGTGAGTGCGTAGCAACCTTGAATACTGAAATACATATGGGTACTATGTCCTGAGAGGTCAAATATGTTAGTATTTAATTAAATGACAAAAAAATTACCTTTTGGAATCCTATCATTTGAGAATACGAAAATGATAGCATTAAGAGATATCGAAGGGTAAATTTACTACTCCAAAAAATGCTATATTACGAAAAAAACTTAATTTTAATAGCAAATTTTTCGCAGATAATTATTTTTGCTACTCCAGAATTTCGACTTTAGTGACGCTCGTGATAAGAAGGGACTGGATCGAATTCGTCAAGCAATACTTTGGATGGTCATTTTATTTACCATACATAATATTTAGCTACAACAACTCACCACAAATATCGACAAATCACAGCCCATACTACCTATTACACGGTTTCAACGCAAACATAGGCATAGACATACAAATAATACCAGAAAACTTATCTTACGACATAAAAAAATCACTTGAGGAACTAAAACTAGCAAGGGAAAGCATCCCCAATTACATAAAAAAAGCTCAAGAAATACAAAAAATAAATCATGACAAAATACATAAACTTACCACATATGAACCAAATCAATTAGTCTTGGTTAAATTTCCATTTCAAGAACAAAACAAAACACAAAAACTAGCTCCCAAATACAGAGGCCCATACAAAGTAATTTCAAAAAAGAATGATGTAAATTACATTATAGAACTTACATTAAATAATAAACTAACACAAGATATCATTCATATTAGACGTTTGAAACCATACTTCAAAAGGGACAACACCATTTCATGTGAGGACACGGAATCCACAGAAAATGGTAACGAATAACAATATATATCACACTACTAATATGTATAAGTACAAATATATTTTATACATAACAATCATAAACATAACATATATAATACAACAAACCAAAGGTTTCATAGCGTACGACTGCTCAGGCAGTAAAATGAACATAACATCATTTAACACATTAAATGTAGATTATTGTTCACCCCCCATACCAAACAAAATAGATAAAATACCATTAATCAAATTACTACAAACAACAGAATCAAAACAAATACAATATCAAGCATGCTACATAGTAGCTGACTTCTTAATCACAAAATGCGCTAGCCTTGACGATGCACAAATCGTAAGAAATGGGTACTTTACAGAACTTATACAAATAGGTGCAGCACAATGCGCAGATGCACACTTGCAACGTTCATACACATTTTTTCAAGGCATAACAGCGAACAAAATAAAAATAAACCAAACCATGTACTTTTCGGATGTAATCAAGGGCCAAGTCAACCGAGATGGAGACTGCACTGGAGAAACATTCAGAACAGACAAGTATGAATGGGACAACGTACTAGTACAAGCAAAATATAAAATACTATTATCAGAAGGTATGGCAACTGCAAATAGCAGAGATAACGTCATAATACTTCCAACCGGAACTCGTCTAAAACTATCGGACGGATACGGAATCGACTCACATAAAGGAGAAATAATATGGAAACATAACCAACAAGAAAATTGTAACACTAATGATTACGACACTCTATATGAAGGGCCAGCTACACTAATAACATCCATACAATCATATAACTCAACTACTGAAATTCAAACAATTTTAGTAGAATCGGACAAAATTGCATTCGCTCTACGCAAAATGGGTATGGACTACGCATGCCACATACCAGTTTTTCGAACTGAACATCCAAGATTATTTATATTAACCGACCAAGCAAACATACATTTTTTCCACACAAAACCAATCTCGACATATAACACAGATTTGATGGCATACATAAATACTAAGTTTGTTTACATACAAAACATTTTACAAGCTTCCATCACTTCAATGTATTTCGATTTAGTTACAAAACAATGTAACTTAGAAAGAAGTATACTCTTGCAAAAACTTTCGTTAGCCTCTTACAGTCTACCAGAATTTGCATACGCAATGGGAGAAGGTCCGGGCTACACTGCATTAAAATCAGGAGAAATAGTATACCTTATTAAATGCAAACCTGTAGAAGTTGAACTAGATAGAAGCCACAAAGCTTGTTTTCAGGAACTTCCAATAATACACAACAAACAAAAATTATTCATGGCACCAAAAACGCACACCTTACAAAAATATGGTACTGAAATCGACTGCACATTCATACTACCAGCCGGATATTTCATGGAAGATGAATGGATAAGCATGTCACCTCAATACAATGAACTAGGTTCAGGCAAAACACCTCAATTATTAAAACCACAAACAACTTGGACATGGGCATATAAAAGTCCACAACACCTAATGAACGCAGGCTTATACTCAAGCGACATGATTAACGCTTTACAAAAACACCTATTATTTCCTCAAGAAGTTTTTGCAGCTCAAAGCAACCTAGCAAGAGAAACAATGGGCTACAACACTCTTGATCAAGGACTAAAAATAAGACCTTATATCGATGAACAACTCATAAGCAAATTGGTCGAAGAAAAACTAAACAAAATGTGGGGCTGGTTTGTAGGTTTTGGTAATTTCATATCTGGATTATTAGGTGTATTTGTTATATGGAAAATCTTTATGATATGTCTAAACACAACAATCAACATGTCAATCTTATATCAAACTTTTGGATTTAGCTTTAAAGTACTGGCAGGTTTATTTGCAAGCATGACACATTATTTTATGCATAAATCACATACTAAAGCTAAACAAAATACACAAAATAATGAAAATGAAAATCCAGAGACATACTTATTAGACAATATTACAGAACAACCTATATCACAACCTACACCACAACCTAGACAAATCTATCCATCACTAAATATAAAAAACACACAACACCAAGATCTTAGAAGATCATTATAAATACATAAAGCCTGAATAAACTAAACATAATCATAATATAATACATAACAATATAACTAAATCATATAAAAAAAATATAAAATATATCAGAGTCATTAAAATAATTCTTGTACATAAGCACTAACACCATTAAATTTACACTAAATCATAAATGTCATAATTCAGATGGAATATCGTTCAGACCTAATGAAATCAATACAAACAGATCGATATCCAACATCACGAGTCGACAGCAGAACGTACGACACAACAACATTTTGGGGCACAACACAAAATTCAATATTAATCAATTATAAACACACACAAATAAACAACATTGTATTAAATTTGAGCGAAACGAATATAACAAGCAAATTTTCCAATCACAATAATTTTAAAATAAGACAGAATAATAAACATATGATAACAATACATCTCCACAAAGAAATAATAAATAGAACCCACAATATAGAAAATAATAAAATAAAACATGCAATTTATACTGATAATCTAAACAATACTTATATAATATGTTTAAATGAAAACACTTCAGATTATAATTATATAACCAAAATATTACATAATTTAGAAAAAACCACCAAATCACTTAAATTACAAAAGAAAGCTTATTTACGAGCAATATTTCTATCAGAAATATTCATCTGTCTATCATCACAATTATGGCATTTACCAAATTTAAAACCTTCCCACCTATTAGAAAAAATAATTGACATAACTGCACTATCGGCATATTTTATAATGAAGGCAGGACTTCTATGTGACCCAATATTTCTAACCATGACAGGACACCTAGGGAAAGATAAAAGAAAATTTTATAGAATACCTGAATCATCAAGAATGTTCAATTTAGAAAACCAAAACTTATACTATGATACATATTTCAATAAAAATAATTCCAAACAAAATTTCATTTCAAAAAACTACTCAGATAAATTTCATAAAAAAATAACCCTATATTTCAATGACTCATGCATAATAGACCCACAAATCCAAAAAATTGAATGGACAAAAAACATTTATCGAGATCATTATTCACTAAACAACAAAACATACATTGGTCGCTCTATGCTATCATACACATTTTACAACTATGCATTCTTTATTATAAAGGCACCAGAATTAGTTCAATTTCAAAACGCAGTAATACCAAATGAAATGGGTAGAATTTATATCACACATTATAACATTACACCACAAACACTCACATCAAATATACTTATACACACAGCTAGCATCACAAAAAACACAGCTCACAAATCAAAATCAAAAGAATTAAAAAATATATGTAAAAAACTATTATATTTTAAAATTACAGGACTGACAAGATAAAAACAATACAAAATGAATTGCGTTATCATAGATTTTGAATTTACTTTAATCGAAAGAACAACACTAGTACTAATATCCGGGGCAATAGCTAACAGCCACACCGAGTCAAAAACTATTAAATTAAAAGGGCAACCACTACTACTAAGAAAACATCAAAAATCTACAGAAATAACTAAATTACCCAGAGACCAAATAAATATAATAATAAAAACAATAATAAAAATCTTCAAAAATAAACCGGAAAAACAAGAACCAATATTGAATGAATTAAATGAGAGCTTCCTAAAAAAGAATGGCAACCTCAATCCACAATACATAATTAAATATGCTAACTACAATAACAAGAAACCAATTATCGTAACGTGGAATGGGGATACTGACATGGAAATACTAAAAAGGATGGGTATAGACATGCCAGTATTCAACATGACATGTTACGACACTCACAATAATGGGGAATTCTTTTTACAACTAATAAACACTACAAACAATAAAATAGTCATTAAATCAAAGTTAGGATACATAAACAAAAAAGGTAGGCTCACAAACCTAGAGGAAACGCACAAAATAATATGTAAATTGTCGCATAATGACACATACATACATGACCCGGTAACAGATGTAAATCTGACCAAATGCATATTTAATCACCTAATGACCAACACAAATACATCCTTAGAATCTCTAATAAATAATCAAAATCAGTAGCTCACTCACAAAAAAAAAAACAATTTCACACCAATAATAACAGCAAATAACCAGTTGCATAATAATAAATAAAAATTCTTCTTATTTTTAGCTAACACCAATAAAATGTTGTTCAAACAAAAATCAGACTCTTCAGCACAAAAATATGTCACATACTGCACAGAACTCAACCTAAGCACTGAATGCCCTAAAAAAATATATACAAACCTTATAATAAAATCAAATACATTAAGGAAATTAACAATAATTAACATGGACATCAATAAACTAGATGTGTCACAATGCACTAAATTACAAACCCTTATATGTACAGACAATAACATGAATCAACTAATCACTAATAATAAATTAAGAGCATTAGATTGTGCAAACAATAAGATCATTGATTTAAATCTATCAAACACACTAATCCAATTAACATGTTCAAATAACAAATTAAAAAACCTAATATTAGGATACAGCCTGATAGAAGTACATTGTAACAACAATGAACTAAAAGAATTAAATTTAAATCCAAATTTGAGAACACTAAACTGCAGCAACAATCAATTAACAAATCTCAATTTAAATAGAAATCTATCAACCCTATATTGCAAAAGAAATTTAATAACAAAAATTGAACTAAATATAAAATTAAACGAAATTCATTGTTCTAATAACTCATTAGAAACAATAATAATCAATGGTTTATTAACTAAATTATCATGTAAACACAATAAAATAAAAAACATAACACTAAATAACTCATTTCCAGACAAAAAAATCTTAATAAAAAAAGATAAACAAGTAATAATAATAGCACAACAAATAAATCTCAAGGAATTCACACCTACCCTAAACGAAGAAACAATATGTCCAATTTGTCTTGAATCTGAAGGACAATTAATAAAAACTGATTGCAATCACACGTTTCATATGAATTGTATTTCACTCATCAAAAATACCAAATGTCCTTGTTGCAGAAGACAAATAGAACAATTGAAGATCAAACATTACCAACTGGAATAAAACAGTTATTTAATAAAAACACACAAACTCATTAAACATAATATAATTTCAACAATAATCAACCAAAAGAAGAATAGAATCTACAAAAATAAAATTTAGTAAAATTATATATTAACAACTTTACTACCTTACTTGAAATAATGCTTGAACACATAAACGTCAAAGAATCCAAAATATCCAACATATTATATTTATTATGCATATAAAATCCCAAAAAAAAAAAAAAAAAAAAAAAAAAAAAACAATCAAATTTTATTTCCGTACACAAAGTAAATTAAGTAAAAAAAAAAAACACTCCAAAAAAAAAAAAAAACAATCAAATTTTATTTCCATACACAAAGTAAATTAAAGTAAAAAAAAAACACAAAAAAAAAAACAATCAAATTTTATTTCGGTACACAAAGTAAATTTAAATTTAGAAAAAAAAAAAAAAAAAGGGGAACTATACAACATATCAAAAAAAAAAAAACACACAATTTAATAATTAATCAAATATTATATTCATTGTTTTACCAACCATAGCAAATACTCATATTATATTTAAGAATTTTCATATTATATAAATTATACATTAAGATATACACGGAATATTCAACTTTTAAATGTATAACATCAGTTCATCGTGGGGACACGATGAAATTCGAATTTCCGTGCAATTTGTAATATATAAATAATACAAGTCTTGTTAATAATAAAAAGGTAAAAAGGGACTTCCAATATGAGTATAAGTACTTGGGTGTGGCACATATAATGCAATTAAATCGGCCACATATAAACGATTAATATTATAATATAATTCTCATATAAGTAGATCACATAAAATATAATAAGACGTTGTGCAACAACAACAATTAAATACACAGCATATTACAATAATTGAACCCCATCATCTAAAACATGATGACACAACAATTAATATGTACACCAAAATCAATCATATAATATAAAAATAATTGAATAATCACATCCCGAATTATACAGGTAATGATGTAACAACAATTAGAATATACATCAAAATCTCCCCAAATTATATAAAACACACACACACATACATATAGGATAGAATAGTTCATAAGACGCATCCATACACACCGTAATAAAACAATACGAATACACTACAAAGAATAGTTACACCCTATACACGGATAGTGATGCTGCGACATGCGACGGCAATTATGATACGCTCATATAAGTAACGCCCACACCAAAGACACGCTGCAGACAGATCAGAGACGGCGTTCAAGGAGCGGAGCGAAGAGAAGAGGATTGACCAATGTCGTAGTGTCATCATATAGCCACATAGCCGCAATACCATTTTTCTCTACGCCACACATATACACATAAATCATTTTTTCATCTATCCACCAAGTTTTAACTTAACTTATATTTTACACTCGCGTCTCACAAATATCCAAACACCTAAGTGCTAACTCATATTGTTACGTTCATCTTCTTACATTTATAACTGAATCAAATACGTGTTAACTTTATTAAATTCCTTTCCATATTATTCTTATTTCCAACATAAAAAAAAATCCATACTTCAATTCAACCTAAAATCATCAATAAAAGAGGTAATAAATAACGTGTATCTAATCCACAACTCGAGAGTCACAGAAGACAAGCACATTCATATCCAAACAAGGTAAGTGCGCACATATTATGATTAAAGCATGCACTTAAATAATACACACATATATACATAATAACATTTAGTAAAGGGAAATTCTATAAGATAAATTAGAGGCTGCACATATTAAAAATAATCACACCCCACCAAATAAATAAAAACGTAAGATTCATTCTCGTGCCATCGGGCATTACATCTCTCTCTCTAATAATACAGCCCCTAAGCCACTACTCTTATATTTTACCCATTACACTGGTACGGTTCACAATTATAGTAAAGGTTTCCCAAACTTTTATGAAAAAAAAAAGAATAAAATATCAACGATTATTTTTAATTTTATTCTACCGACGATCGATGGGAAAACACGACTCACGAGTGACTGCGAGTGAAAATAATGTGATATACAGAAAGTTCTCATCAGTACAATATCATTCGCAATAGTGGATTGAGAGTGTTAGGTATTACTTCAATAAAAATTATACCTAATATGGACATTTATGCCAATCTACATGGCGAAAAGCTCAACAATTAGGCATATGTTTCTTATACAGAAATAACATAGATTTTAGAATAAGTTACGGTATGATTAACGCTTTAGCGTTTTTACCCTTTAGTGAAGTAATAGATGGAATGGTTTATTTATATACAACGACACCTGTAGAATTGTTACCGTTACTAAAATATTTTGACGAAACTTATGTTAGTGGGAAGTCTGGGAGCCCAATATTTTCTCTAAACTTCGTGAATGTACTTCGCAAGACAAACTATACAACGAATGTGAGAACTTCTTAAATAAAGAAATTAAATTAGGACAATTTTTAAATAATATAGCAAAGTATACGAAATAATTATATTATTAATCATAAACTAGGTATATTATATTATATTTACTGTACCTATATTTTATATTTATTTTACCTGCCTGCTACTTTGTATGTACTTATTAGTGTTTTTTGGTAATTTTGATTGCTAACATATTTTTTTTTGTTTTAAGTATTATTTAAATTTAACTTGTTGACGATGGTGATTTATCAAAATTATATTATAAACATTGTAAATATTTTAGGACCCCTAAAGATTACATTTTGAATAGTACCAGTTTTCCGCGTTTTTTATTTCTTTTGTTATAAATGGTATGGACCGTACCAGTATTCCGAGCATCCAACCATACTACCTTAGATCGTGATGTAGACTGGCGGCAGCGGCCGTTCAAGGTTCCGTTGCCATTGGCGAAAATCGCATAGTGTATTTGTGTGGTACAAGTTTGATTAAAATAATATTATATATTATCTTAAATTGAATTCAGAAAAAAACTTATATAAATTATCAAAATTGATATTACAATCAAAAATTTCAATTCGATTTCAAACTTTTAACCCTGGTTAACAAATCATTAAATCTATAAAAATATGTTGGCTAAGACTAAAAATTAAAAAGTTATGTATTCTCTGTTGGCGTTGGAAACAAACTTTGTCTTTACAGTTCATAAAAAATATATTAGGCACTATTAGAATAATTGTCTAAAATCATATATATTTTTGTTGGTCGATAGACAATAAAATGCAAGCCATAGATGTGGTAAATAATAACCAAAGAACACAAGCTCTATTAATCCCAAAGGTTGAATGGATAAGACTAAAAAAGATTTTGACCAAAAAGGATGATGATATAGCTACAATTGAGATGATAAAGCGATTAAAAGACGAACGGCAAGCTACATCCAAAGCCATAAAAGAATCATGGGACGCCACTGTACTGGTACCTACCTAAATGAATATTTATAAAATTCTGTAAAACTATATGTTTCTAAATATATAGACTATACATGCTTCACGGTTTTTGAGGTTTTGATGGACACACCTATTTGTATATTTTTAGATTCTGAGTGAAACGATGAATGTATTGATTTTACAATGTGTTTTTTTTTTTTTTTGTGTCTGTCATCACGTTTTAGGACAGTAAAAGTGCTTGGATTTTCTTCAACAGTAGCTTTTCTGATAGGAAAGTGAATCTAGTTGGTACTTTGGTGGGTCAAAAGTAAAAATTTCCAAGTAGCTTTCACAAGCGCCGGGAAAAACAAAAATTAATTAATTTTTAATTAATGAAAAACGGGAATTTTTACGCAAAATTGGTTTTCCAAAAAATCGATTTTGGTTTTTGGTGTAACTCTAAAAGAAAAAAACGTATATACATGAAATTTTCACTGGTTGTTTATATTTGCATTTTATATACACGATAACGTTTTCAAAATATTTTGATTTATTTTGAACTGTTTAGGAACATTTTCATTTTCCATCTTTTTTTAGTTTTTTTTCTAAAAATATCAATAAAATATTATTTGTTGGTTACGAAAGCTTGAAAATTTAATAGAAGGCTCCTAATATATTGTTTCAAATGCAGATGAAAAATATTAAAAATCCTTAGTCACAATTTTTTTTTATAAGCATTTAAAGTTCAAAAATTGTAAAAATATGGAAAAATCACGAAAATTAGCGAATTATTTTGAGGTAAGAATTCGTAAAAATTTTTCTTTTTAAATCTAAGATTGGAAAATGTAATACAAGATTACTCATAAGTTTGTCTACCTTTATCAATAAAAAAATCTCTACCGGAAAGTCAAATTAAATTTTTATGAGCGTTTGAAATTCAAATTTTACAACATTGGATGTTCACTCGATTTCTCATGTAGCGATTTCCTTATTTTGTTGTAATTCAAAAACGAATAACTGTAGATACATGAAAATTTCACTGAATGTTTATATTAGCATTTCCTATACACCATACAATTTTGAAAATATTTTGACTCTTTTTTAGCTGTTTATGGACATTTATAGCTTTCAATTTTTTTTAGTTTTTTTTTCTATAAATATCAATAAAGTTTTATCTGTTGGGCCAAAAAGTGTAAAAATTAAATACAAGGCTCCTGATATATTGTTACAATATCAGTTGAAAAATATTAAAAATACATAGTCACAGTTTTTTTTTTATAAGCATTTAAAGATCAAATTTTGACAAAATTTATCAAAATCTCGAAAATTATCAATCATTGTAATTAATAAATTATAAAATCTTCAGTTTTTATAGCTAAGGATTGCAAATTCAACACAAAGGTAAATAGAAAGAGTAAATAGTTCATACTTCATACTGTAACCAAAAAATCTAAAAAATATATGAAGACAGTTATTTTTTACAGACATTTTAAATTCAAATTTGGACGAAATTACATATTAAAAAACCTAGAATAACTATTTAAGTTATTTTGTTGTGATTGAATAATATTATTCGTGGGTACTTGAAACTTCTAAAGTGTACTATTATATATTTATGATAGTATCACGGTTTTTGTTGATGTATAACGCTTATAAGTAACTAATGGATATTGTGATATGATTAATTTGGAATTTATTATAGGTACCTATTATAGGTCAATTTTTTGTTTAATACCATAGATATGTATATAATATGTCTTATACATATACTGACATACCGTCTCCGCTCAGAATCGCTTTTCTTATACAATGATATTATATCGTTGAATTCAAATTTAATATCATCCATTATACAGTGACCCAATTATAACCTACTGTAGGTACAGCAGAGCACCTTTTTCAATATTTGAACTTCATATGTTTATAAAAAAAAATTGTGACTATGGATTTTTAATTTTTTTTCATCTGCTTTTGAAAAGGTTTATTTTGTGTGCCGACTAACAATATAATTAGTATTGTTACGAACACCCAAAGCAATATATAAATAATACCATGATCTCAATAATTACAAATATAGGTATGTTATGGGTAAGAATGTAAGATTCAAAACGGGTAATGTACCTACTACCTATCTATAGTGTATATTGTATACGTATACGGTATACATATTTTATTAACCAAAATAACTAAGTGGGACTGATAAAGTTAAATCAACATTGTCTTGTTAAAGAATTCTGGCGGTAATAAAATCAGTTATCAGTCGGTTTGCGTAAACCGCCAATTTACCGGACATTGTAAGAAAGGCCCTAAGTGATATTGGGTAGTTAAAATATTTATAAAATGTTCAACTTTTATAGATAAGGATTGAGAATTTAAAACAAGATTCCACGTAAATAGGTTATATATTATAAATTACTTTATTCACCTTAATATTATCAAATATACTTAGTAATATCATTACTGATCGTTTTCACTCAGAATCGTTTTTCTTATACAATGATATTGTATCATTGAATTCAAATTTAATACCTTCCATTATAGAGTGACCCAATTGAAAGTTAATGTCAGACTGACTTTTTTTTTTTTTAACTTACTAATTGAATCTAAGTTAAGCTAATGGTCTTTGTCAACTTAATTTTAAACTTAATTGATGTATTAAAAATGTATATTAACTTCATTTATAATTTAATTGAAAAATTAATAATGACCTTAACTTAACTGATTTAAAAAATATCATTAATATAATATAGTAATATAATAAATGTTGTAAACCAATATAAATGTAAAATATAAATTATTATTTGGTACCTAGTATTAACATATAATATGTTCTATATATTGTGTGTTGCTGGTTACATTCATTCACAAATCATGTTCTGAGTGCAAGTACTAGTCGGTGTCACTAGTTCCCGGATGGGTCACCACCCGGGCTTTTATACACTGGCCCACGAAAGACCGTGTCCCGAACAAAATGCTTCCGATCCCGCGCGTCTCTCACTCAACGACAATTACTGGTCGTTAACGTTCAGTACTATCGGCAACCATCGCTCTACGCTATAATATATATTTATGCAACCTATACCGTCGCGGCACAAAGTGGGGGAATTGTAGCTCGGACTGGTCAGTGCCATCAGCCTACATTCGTGCGAAAAGATAATGTTCTCTCGTGGGCCGAAGTATAGTAACAAATCCTTGCCACACATACACACATGTGTTCTAATCTATCCTTATTCCCTCCCCCTCTACAATCAGCTCATGATCATAGTTTCCTGGCTTAAGAACAATAAAAAAAAATCTATATAATATAATATATACTATAAATATGATATTAATATATTATTATGGTGTTACAAGATTGAAAGAACGAGAGAATATAAAGCGTGACAATGATATTAAATTAAGAGAAGAAGGTAAAGCTGAATTGCAGAGAATTGCAAATGAAATCGAGGAAGATAGAGAGAAAAAAAAAGCTAAAGTAATATAATATATTATATTGTGTTAATTTGTTACATCATACATTCATACGAATATCATTGTAATTACCTACATTATGTTTAAGGCTCTAGCAACGAGAGAGAATTTAATAAATCACTTAAATGAAAATAGAAAAATTGTGGCTGAAAACATTAAGCTGCGTCAGTTAGAAGATCAAGAGGAAAATTTAGTAGTATCAATAATGGCTGAGGCAAAGAAGAAAATAGCTAAAACAAGAAAACTGAAAGAAATAGAAGTATGTACCAACTCACCTAATAATATTAATTATTATATAGGTAAATGTTTAAGTTAATATGTACTGTCTGGAATACTAATATAGTAATATGAATAATAATACAAACGAATTGTATTCAACTTTATTGTTAACAGTATAAATTTCAATGATGTATGCATTGAAATTGTTTACTCAATAATGACCGATGGACACAGGACAGTCCCCACTGACCGTAATCTGATAGGTACTCATGATTTCCTAAATATACAAGATTATTGCACATAGCCTATATTATTGTTATCAAACAAAATAAAATGACAGCGTAAGGACCTTAGATCATAAACAAGTGTAGGTACTGTTGTGATAACTCATTATCGCTCTTACCATAAATTAGTAAACACCTATTTTATAGGTTATATCGTATATTATCAGTGTCATCGCACATACGCACACTTATTAAATAATAAACGTTAAATTAAAAAGTCATGAATTGAAGAGTTTTAATTTATTAATTAACTAAGTTTGTTATAAAATGTTATTAGTAATAAGCTTATAAAACTGTTAAAAAACATAATAAAACAGGTACTAGGTAATAGGTTTAGTATATGATCTAAGGTACCATGGCTTAAAATACAGGTTGGATCAGTTAAAGGCTTGTCCCTTACGTTACTTTGTTACTATAATAATTTCTTAACGTGATAAAATTATATGGTGGGCGTACTATTGAAATAACCTATAAGTACATATTATTATATAATATATATGTATATTATTTTGGTAATACTTATACTACGTTAGAATGCATAAATGCTGTATAATATGCAACATGTATGTTACAGGTTTTGTTTATAAGAATTAATATCAAATTCGTTTGTAGATTTTAAAAGAAAAACAAAAATTATTAGAAAAAATGGTTGAAACTGCAAACACGGGTCAGGATAAAGAAGAGGTTTCATTTCAAAACGCAGTCGAAGAAAAAGAGCGGAAGTTCGTACATTCTTAGGTTTATTCTACTATTTTTTTTACAAGTTAGGTAAATTCTTGTTTAGGTATCAAAGAGAAGAACTTAAAAATAAGGGTTTGATAAAAAATAGAGAAGAAGATTTCGAGGCCAGTAAGAAGATCTTGGATGAAGAAAATAGAAAGGAAAAAGAACGTTTGACACTGAGTCATCAGTGGGAACTGGAAAGGCGCCTAAGAGAGACTGAGATGTTATGCTTACTCGAAGAGTCAAGTAAACAGGCAAAGACCAGAGAAACTAACTGTTTTCGAAAGAATCTCAATTTACAATGTGTAAATACGTGAAATCAGAAATTTTAACTAATATTTTATGCTAAATTAATTATTTAATGTTATTTTTTCATATAGGATAACAATAGAGCAGCTACTAGAGCTAACAAACTGGTAGATGTTGAAAAATATAATGCACAATTAAAACTTTGGAAACAACAGGACGAGGAGTTTATGACCCACACCAAAAATATGATAACTAAATATAAAAAAGCTGGGATATCTGTCATACCATTAATGAAAGCTATCGAGGTGATATATTATGATATATTCATATCCTATTTTATAAAATCAAATAAATTATAATAAATAGGCTCTTGTAATTTCGTAAAATATGTTGTTCTCTGCAGGATTATAAGAAAAAAAACAAATTACTCAGCATGCAGTGAACATAGTCCCGTGTCCGAATAATCTAAATGTATATCAAGAACATTTTTGATATACACGTCGCTTTTTTGCTACAACAACGAACATAACACAAACATCGTGGTTCACACAAAACGCATTTGAAAATTTTATTTGCAATTATATGACGATAAAATCATATTGAATGTTCATATTAGAAACTTATTTTAATTGAAGTAGAGTGTTATCTTTATATATAAAAATGGAGACAAAAAATTAGAAATAGCATCAGTTGAGAACGGCTTGGCCGATTTTGCTCAAATTTTTTTTAAATGATAGAGAATGTCGGTGAGCGGGTTTATAGCATAAATTATGGACCTAATTCATGTTAGTTAGAGATTTAGAGACAAAAACTGAGTTACACCGGTGGCGCCATCTAGCGGATAAAAATATAAATATAAATATAATATAAATAATAATAAAAATCGAAAAAAAAAATATATTTTTATATTCTGGTTGATATACATTTTTTATTATAGACACTTATAACTTTAGAGTAAACAAATATAATAGTTGGCACATTATTCATTTTACTTTGAAACATTATCGTTTTATGTTTTCTATGAACTTTTTCAATCAAAAACGACTATTGTTTTTTGGAGAGAATTTTTATGCTTGAATCATGCCTCCTATGAGAAGAACAAACATTGGACGGCGTACACGTAATGCAAGACACATTAATAGTCACATTTTAAAATAATATAATATCTTCTTATTTATTTTATCCAATTAAATAGATAACAATACAACTAAATAACAAACTTTGAATATAAACAAATGAATAACAATCTTAAAAAAACAATATTTTTTTATTAAAATTAAAAATAAAGAAAAACTTATGTACCTAATTTTATTGAATCAGTCTTTGATTTACAAATTATAAGCATATGATATGTGTTTACATAAGAGGATGAATAATGTACAACAAAACTATTTTTGTCAAAAATGTAACTTGGATCCTTTTCAACAAATCACCATTCAAATATACGTCATTGAGATAGCACATCTATATATATAAAACTTAAATCAAGCAAAAGAGGAAATCTTTGTTACGGTTTGGCTTCGAAACTTCTTATCCAATTGTCATTTTTTAATGAAAGAGGATATCACGGAGCAGGTTTTGGTCATAAATAAAGTCCGATAATGTTAGTCAATAATTAGTTATCTATATATATAAAATGTCGTTACCTCATCAATCGAGAACGGCTGGTCCGATTTGGCTCAATTTTTTTTTAAGATGTTCGTAATTACCAGGAGAAGGTTTTTACGAAAGAAAATTTTAAGAAAATCCATCGGAAAATTAGGAAATCTGGATGTAAAGAATACAACAGTAGAGCAAAACAGTGTATATATATTGGTTGCTATTGGTTAATCGGGCATGTTTGTTGATTTGTATTATTTTTTATAAATATATATACATATAAATGAATGTTTATGTATAGAATAAACCTCTGGGAAGAAGACAGGCTATTTTAAAATGGTTAAATTTGGTTTTTTTTATTCATCTGATATTAGTAGGTACGGTTAGGTTAGGTTAGGATTTTGTATTAATAGATTATATTAATGCATTATAGGTGGAACACGACAAATTTGCTATAACTTTAATACATAAGAGTTAAATCATACAGTTACGTACAAACAGCACGGGGTCCGCGATCTACCGCAGGTAGATTGCCTACCTGATAATATACTGCTGCAAATTAGAATTTTTATTCCGGCCAACGAAAAAGTTAAGATACATTTTGAACACCATACACCGAATATTATAAATAACGAATTGAACACAGTTTGAGGCATATAGAGTTGGTACATTGAACGGGAAACGAAGTGCACGGGATCAGCTAGTAACATACTATATTCATGCTTTATTCTTACCTCAAAATGGTTTGTTATTTTAAAATTAGGAGTTAGTTTAAGTTTTTTAACTTATGACACTATTGATTCAAAGATTGATGTTTAGTTACGAGTTATTTTGTAATATGTCGTTATGCAAAATTTTTATTTTTATTTTCTTCCTAATTTTATGTATTATTTGTAGTTATGACATTATTGTATAACTATTAATAATAACACAAATTTACCAAACAACCCCTTAAAAATAAAAATCCACCATGAGGCCTAGGCATCATAAAACCCCAATCACCACGCCACTGCTGATTCATGGACAGATCCCCGTAATACATTTCCCCGTTAGACATTTCCCCGTTACCCGTCACCCGTTACCCCGTTACCCGTCCAATATTTCCCCGTCCAGCGATTTTCCCCGTTGGACATTTCTCCGTCAAAAGAAGGATATATATAAGATATAACAAATAAAGATAGTATAAATGTTTGTATAGCTTATATTGCACCTTGTACGGACAAATTAACTTAGATATATATTTATATATTTTTTATTATTATTATTAAACAACATTTTACAAATTATTTTATGTGCCTGTAATAACGTATACGTAATTTGTATTATTATAATTATTGCTCAACATTTACAAATATGGTATTGATTTTATTATAATTATTGCTCAACATTGTTATTATTATTAATATTATTATTTATATATTTTTTATTACATTTTACAAATTATTTTATGTGCCAATATTATGCAAATTACGGGGACGGGGAAATGTCGCACGGTAAAACGTATTAGACGGGAAAATGTCTTACGGGGAAGTGTTTACGGGGAAATGTTCGACGGTGAAATGGTGACGGGGAAGTGACCCGTTACCGCCACTGCTCTGGTTCAATGACGACTTTTTTGAGTTCTCCTCGTTTTCCCTTTCTGTAAAACTATATAACATAGTCAAAAAAAAAAACCGTGATTAAAAATAATATTTTTAAGAATACATTATTATAGAATTTCTAAATAATATTTAATATAGTACAAACTTTTTACGAGCAGGTCTATTTTGTTCACCGTGACTAGTTTCTGTGTTTTTAGTGGGATAATAATTAGTAATTACTATCATGGTTAGTGTAAATAACTGCTGATGGAGAAATATTGTTTAATGCATTTAAGTCATTAGCCACAATATCATAATAAGTATTGTCGACTGAACTAAAAAAAAAATAGTATTACAAAATATATTATCATTATTATATCTAAATTGTAATTAAAATAATAAATAAAAACAATTGCAAAATATTTATCTAAAGTACATACTTTAACCAATATGTAGTGGGACTGACAACAATATTCTTCTGTTTTTCATGATGGTTAAAAATTGTAACACGAGTAGGTGAAAATGGAGGATCGCAAAAATTCAGTAGATCCTCAATACTTTCCTTATTTTCAAATACATAATCATCATTAGCACTGTAAAATATACGATTTAGTTATTATCAATAATGTATGTATATTGTACCTATACATATTGAACCAAATAAATGTATGTAAATTAACATGACATAACAAAAAAAAAATAAAATAAAACTATTACATAATTGTAGTGTTAAATAAGCAACACTTAGGTACTTTATTAAGATTGATATACTTTTGAAATCAAAATTATTTTAATTTCCAATAAATAAAACATCACTATTACAATTTGATATCTCAACAGGATATGTAGAAATACATTCAACGGATGACTTAGTGATATCTTCATTTTCAAATAAATATTTATCGTCATAATTTCTAAAAAAAAAATAATTAGTTTATTAAAAAAACATGGAAACTAATCAATTACTAATAAAAAGTTGTATACAATTATGTTACATTAAAATTATTTAATACAAAATTAAAAATTAATTATCAAAAAAATAAACTTAAATTAGTTCAAGTTATTTTTTGATTAAAGGGAGGGGAAGAAATACAAAGCCAGACAGAGTACTGTAAAGCAGTGGTATATGACATTTTATTACCTTGACGTAGGCCGAACTTTTGAAATATAATTAACTATCATAGTATTGATTGAAATTTGATGTTTAACCTTAAATCAATTTTATAGTTTAATTACCTACAATCAAAGCAATAATTCTATAATACAGACAAATTGTATGTATAAAAAAATTACTATCACAATAAATGGTCC